TTAGTTTTAAATCTATTGCTCCCCTTCGTTTTTAATTTCTAATTCCATCTAACACTTTGTGAAGGCTATAATTAGGCAATCATCTGCTTATTTTACTGTTACATGCGGCCGCTTTTTGCGGCCATTTCTGACTACATTTCCCATGTGGCATTGTGTTTTACTTCCGAAAAGCGGAAGTGCTATTTGGACATGTGACTTTTTATTAATGTTTAATAACACAATTCAACACCTTCGTTTTTGATCCAAACAATTTAATATCATGTTATAGTATTACTATTTATACATTTATTGAGTTATTTATGCAATTTAATGTTTTAATTTTGTTTTTAATTCTGATTGGTTGTACCATTTTTGGCGCCAAATTCAAATTAGTTTTATCCTTATAAAACATCTACTAGCCAGGTATCATATGTAAATCCATTTGAAAAAGTCTTTTTTTTGACGAAACGTGTTATGGATATTTAATATTTGTGTTCTTTTATTATATTAAAGTATTTTTGGTCATTTATTTGTGACAATCAACTTTTTTAAAGACACATAACTTTTCCTTTTACCCTGGCTTTTTAGTATTATTTTTATTGGTTTTATAAAAACCATTGGATAATATCCCTGGAAGTTTCCTTTACTTAAAGAAATCCTTAGGTGGGGATCAATCCACCCAAGCTATCATCATAGAGCAGTTGGCCTGCTCTTACCTTGTAAGTACATTCTTTTATTATTTTACCAACAATACTATACAGTGAGCACTATTAGTTGTCTCTTTTATTCCGAGAATTGGACACCAACGACGGAGAGGAACCCATTTATATCCCATAAGCGGGGATTTAAACCGCTGTAGGCGCCTTACTCCAGAGCTGGATATTAGCTTTGGTAAATGTGAGTTTTATACTATTACTCTTTTATATTCACATTTGAATTTTACATACTGCACCATTGGTTGTCCCTCTCTCTTTTTATCTTTCATACCAAGTGGATCCACCATATCAGTAGAAGACCTTAACACCAAAGACTATTTTTAAGGATAAATATTGGGATCTTCTCCCTTTTTTGGACTTTATATTGGACTATTTTACATATATTTTTTTATTTATTGTGGCGCAGCCTTTTAACTGTTTTTTATTCACCTTATTTTAAAGGGTTTGAGGGATCCCCTTTTAAGGTTGCTGCCTATAAGTTAACCAAGCGCTGTCTCATTCTTTTATTTTTATTACTTTTATAAATTAGCCTGTTTAAAACACCCTTTAATTGACAATCAGACAACAAGTCCTGTGGTCTTCTGGTTTGGTTAGCTCAGTGGAGCTAAACTCAATAGGCAGCAATTGCCCAGAGCACCCGCCTTGCAAAAACTTCTCATTGAGCTGCATTGGGAAGTCTGTGATTGGACAGCTACAGAAAGTCTAGGTTTTAGGTTTTTGAGCAGGCTTAGCAAAGCAGGTTTACTTTGATGGAGCTGGCACAGGAAGACTGGACAAAGAGTGACACAGAGACTGGGGGGGGGAGAAACAGACACTCAGGAGGATGACGGAGGGAGTAGTGAGGAATTGGAGAGAAGTAGGAAGGAGAGTTCTGAAGGTGGGACAGAAGAGATCCCAGGAGCTCCTGATACCGATGATCAGTGGTGGTCTTCTCCTGCTGAGGAAACACAGTAGTTGCCTCCCTCTATCCCTGTGGTTCCTCATAGTGTTAGAACCCCTCCTGTGTCACACAGTTCTCCAAATTTGAATCCAGAAATTCCATGCTTTGTGTCTGGGGCCACCTTTAGAGACTCTAGTTCTATGGGAGAGCTAGGGCCTTAAGCCACTGGCGACCTCCCCAACAGTCGGACAGGAGACGAAGCTTCCCAGGCACAGCCAGAAGATCCCCTTCCTCAAAGAGAATGGAAACATAGCACAAGGGTACAACAACCCCCAGGGCCTTGGTTTATGATCATATGGGAAATCCCAGTTATGCTCCCTTGACACAGGCAGCATCTAAAATGACCATTTTCCTTAGCTGAAAGTGGTAGATGCTAATCCTTCATTGTTTTAGAACAGTTGGCTAGTTAGGATTGCAGTTGTATTAGGTAGCAATGTTATGTAGGATTTTACATTGTTGTGTTACGTTGTCAATTGTTCATCACCCCTGGTCAGGACTTGCCAGTGGAAGGCAAGTATTTTTTTTTCCAGGGGGAGCATGTAATCCCTCTGGAACACAGTGATTTCTGCTGCAGTTCCAGCACCTGGCTGGATATATGTAGGTCTCCATTTGAATTTTGGCAGGAAGTTTTGGGGAGTTGCAGTTCAGAGGAGGAAGGAGAAGGAATCCTGCTAAGCAGGAGAAAGAAGTTTCCAGAGTGAGAGCTGCAGGGTCCAGTTTGAAGCCCCACTGGAAGGAGGATTTCAGCAGGCATCTACATCCTGACTCAGGCACAGAGCGGTTTCGTTGGCAGAGACTTGCTAGGGAAGGAGAGAGAAAATCCCAGAAGCCGCAAGAAGCAGTGTTTCCCCTTCTGACTGACCCTGATTACATTTGGTTTTGTAAGCCTGCATACTCTCCCCTGTACACAGCAGGGCACCCTGAGTTTGGGCTGCGCAGTTTAGAGACTGGACCCCTATTCTTACTGATTCGTGGAAGCCCTCTAAAGTTTTTCTGACCCATCTGTGGATTACAAACAGCTTACTGAGCCCCAACTACATGCACCAACCCCTGGTACCCAACGGCCACTAGGTTAAAGGCCTAAGGAAGGGGGGGGGGGCGCAGTGTTACTATGTGTGGGCATTTACTCCGTTATGACCCCATTTTAATTGTATTGTATTCTATTGGTGTGTGTCACATGTTGCGTTAAATTCTGCTGTGCAATACAGAATTCTTTAAACAGATAACCCTGTGTCAGTTGTTGCTGATATAACCATGTTCCCAGCAGGGTGGAGGCACTGCCGTAAGTGAGCACCCCATCTCCCAATTGGCGAGGGCTCAGGATTGGCATACCGAGTGCTAAGAGGTAACTGAGGTGAGGGATCCCATGGGTATATGAGGGTCCGCCCAAAATAAAAGTTCCATATATTTTATATATTTTAAGACATCTATGACAATTGTCACTGTTATATTGTGCTGCTTTCTTTTACTGACTACATACTCCTCAATTGGGACTCCACTGCCCAAATAAAAAAAATAATTAAAAAAATCACTATTTAGTAAATAAACTCCCAATGAATAAATATTTAAAAAAAAATGTTTACTGCTTTACCTCCTTGTTGCTAGGGCCCAGTATATTTCCTATAGCGTTAGACTATTGTAGTATGAAGTCAGGAATATGGCAGATGTTGAAAATCCGATCTGCACCTGGAGCTGTTGATTGACAAGTGAGTGCAATATTTAAAGTGTGGCTCTTTGCAGTCACATGTTAGTATGCCAGGCTGGCTTTATGTTAAATACACAAATCCACACTTAAGAAAGGCAGTTAGTGTTTCTATCATGTTCTGTTGATTGTCAATTTACCCAGCCGCGGCCATTGCCACAATACATGGTTTACTGTAGTGCTCAGACTTCCCTTGCACTAGGGCAATGGAGACCTAATTTGCACTCTGTTTTTTGCAGTATTAACTTGTCAATCACATTACAATCCAACATTAGTAAGTTGGACTCATTTTATGATAGTAGATTGAATGATGTACAGCGTTTTGGTCCCTGTTAAAGGAAGCAGTGGCGTAACGAGAGCTCCCCATTTTTTGGACAAAAAAAAAAAAAAAGGACTAATAGCAGTAGTGTAGTAATAATGAGTAAAAAAATAATGTGCCCTCCCCCTCACACAGAAAATCTCCCAATTTTTAAACATTCTATACTGTTTTTCAACATTATGGGGCAAATACACATTGCCATATGACATTTTACAATATTAATTTTGATAAATACAGCCATACTGCCCTCTTGTAATCTTTATCAGTGAATTACATAATGCCTATTATCAGTGTGATTTTCCAGGAAATCGCTCTGTTATTAGGCATTCTGTAAATCAAAGAAAATAGTTACTGCCTCAAATTTTATTAAAGGACACGGAGGCTCTTATTAGGCTTTATCTCTTTCTTTATTCCTCAGCAGCAAAGAAAGGATATTGATATTTTTTAATATAGCAATAACAAAAAGAAAAACAAATACCCTTAAGGGTTAACCATATAACATTCCATATCCATTAACCAATAGGATCAGTCCTTGTACTATATCCCTTCATGTGAGGTAAACTACTTCCTCTTTCTTTGCTGCTGCCTCAGCTAAGTACCACATATTTTTTCAGCTCCTCAAATATTGTGTTGTTTAGTTTCTCCTGATTCATATTATTATTTATTAATTTCTTTTTGTATATCTGCTGTTTTGTTTTTGTCTATTATTTTAATTTTTTGTGTGTATTTTACTGATGTTTGCTTTTCCTCCTGTTCCCAGTTCAGGGTGCTTGCCTCCTCCCTGAGGCAAGCCCCATCCTGCACTGCCGTTTTTCGGGTTGTTTATAACCCGTTCCTCCTTCCACTTCCCCGGGTGGGGGTCGCTCAGGCATCCCCTCCCCACCCCCCCCTCACCCCCTCCGGCCCAGAACGAGCCGTTTTTTTGCCGCCGGACGGGTGGCTGTTACTTTGGCGGCTGTTTCCGCCGTTCGCGCATGCGCGGTCCACTCGCGCATCGCGGCGGCCATCTTAACTGAGGGCAATTTTGCCGCTCTTTTCGCCCGCGGTCCGCGCCACTCTGACAGGGAGGGGCGCGAGCTGATTGGGTGAGGGAAGTGTTCCCAGTGTCCCCCAGGAGTCATTCCTGAGGGAACACTCGGTAAGCTGTCATATTATATGTGCCAGAATACTTGTGCCTTGTATAACTGTGCCTGCCTTTACTTTTAGTCTAGTGCTCAGCCACTTACCTTATACTGCCGGTATATTAACCTCTGCAGTGCTGCCAGTGTGCATTTTGTCCAAAAGTGACAGTTTTATTTCAGTTCCTTTCTCCCTATACTGCTACTGTGCACATTCTTGATCACTATGCAGTCCCCTGCTGATAAACAGACAGTTACCCCCCCTCCCACCTCTACTAAACCCAGCAAACGTGATAAGACAGCCATGTCTACAGACGCTGCTGTCATTGGGGGAGTTGGGGACGCATCCCAGGAGCACGTGAACTCAGAGGAGTTCCAGGCGCTCCTGGATGCCACGATGAGTAGGTCTGTCACACAGGCCATTTTTAATGCCATGGGGGCGATGTCGGACACCCTGTCCCACTCCATTTCCTCTGCTATTAGGGCATCCGGTCACAACCCGGGCTCGGCACCCCCTATATCCAGTGATAGCAAGCCAATGGTCCCTAGCGGCCGCAAGGCTACGTGTAAATCGCACCATCTGTCAGGTGCTACCTCCAGAACCAGTAAGACGGACAGGTTGCGCCCTGTTGAGATTGATGACGTGGTGCTCCCACGTAAAAGAGCCCCCCGCCGGGCAAAAACGGTGCGGACTTGGAAGAGGGCAAAAGCCCTATCTGATCCGTCCGACTCCGACTCCGACTCAGAGGAGGTATCAGATGGGTCCGATGACATCGACCCAATTAATTCAGACAATTCATCCCCCGAACGCAGCGACACCGCGCCTCCAGCTCTAGACGCGGAGCGCGAGACGGATGAGTCCGCTGTGTTAGACCCCCAAGGGGGCGTTCAGCGGAGTGGTATCCCACGACTCATGTGGCCGTTTATATTGCGACTAGGGTCAGGAAACCCCTCGACAAGGCCACAAGAAACAAACTGAGGGCAGACATGGCCTGCGTGACCCCTGAAGTGGATCCCAAGGTCGCCCAGTTCCTGGGTAAGTCAGGATGGAGGGCCAAGAAGGGTTTGGACTACTCCTTAAAACACTGCCAGGACAAGATCCTGGACATACTCGGGCCTATAGCTAAAATCTTCGATATGGTCGAAGCGGCCCTTACTGGGAGGACCCCAATTGACTTGATGGCCATCAGAGGCTGGATTCAGAGGGGCATATGCCTAATAGGAAATGCCAACACCGCTTTGGCCACGGAACGGCGTAAAGCCATATTGTTGAAAATCGAGCCAAAACTAGTGCATTTGGCAATCTCCGAGCCTGGCACACAGGCAAAAGGTCTCTTATTTGGAGACAATTTTGTTAAGACCCTGGGTAATTACGTAAACACATTTACGGCACTAGATAAGGCACAGCATAATATGAAGCGAGTGTTCTCGCAAAAGGTTTTCGGGGGGGCCGGCAGACAGCGGGGCCGTCTGTCCGGCCGCCCCTCCCGGACTCAGTTCCGGGGCTATCGAGGCTCCGCCACAACCCGGTTCCACCCACCCGAACCGAGGGCACAATCACCCTTCTTCCCGACCAGGGGCAGATCATGGCAGCCACGCGGAACCAGGGGATCCTCCTATGGCCGTCGGCCTTATGGTGAGTCACTCCACATTACACACCATTCCCTTTGTACCTGTGGGGGGAAGATTGTTTCAATTCCAGGGTGCGTGGCACAACCTAACCTCAGATACATGGGTCCTAGAGACCATCCTCGGCTATCACATCGAATTTACACAACAGCCGATTCAACTCTCATTGCCACATCGGATTATTTTTTCCCCACTAGACAAACAGCTAGTGTTAAAAGAGATTCACGCACTGGAGAAAAAATGTGCGATATACAGGGTTCCTATTACCGCCCCCGGGTTCCTAAGCAACATCTTCTTAGTACCCAAGAAAGGTGGGGGCATGAGGCCAGTAATAAACTTGCGGCCTCTCAACGCCTTTGTCACATACCATCACTTCAAGATGGAAGGAATACACTGCCTCCGAGACCTACTAAGACTGGGAGACTGGATGGTAAAATTGGACCTCCAGGATGCATACCTCACAATACCGATTGCCGAGGACTGTCAACAATTCCTGCAATTCCAATGGGACCAAACGATGTGGCGGTTCCGCTGCCTCCCTTTCGGCCTGTCTTCAGCCCCGTGGTGCTTCACCAAACTGCTGAAACCGGTAGTTGCCCTCCTTCGCAGCAGAGGTGTACGTCTGATCATATACCTCGACGACATGCTGATCATGGCCCAAGACACACAGCTACTGAATCAACACCTATTCTGGACAGTAACCCTTTTACAAAACCTAGGTTTCCTAATCAATTGGGACAAATCGATCCTACAACCTTCACACTCGATAGAGTTTTTGGGTTTCGATATAGACGCAGTACACGGAACGCTCAGTCTTCCTACCGCAAAAGTAAAACTTATCCAGAAGGAAATCCGGAGGACGTTGGCTCGACCAGTCTTAACCCTCCGACAGCTAGCCAGGATAATTGGCCTGCTCTCGGCCTCTATACAAGCGATCTTCCCAGGCCCTCTCCACTACAGATCCCTACAACAACTCAAGGCAACCCACCTACGCTTGGGTCACTCCTATTCAGATTCTGTACCTCTAGACTGCGCGGCAAAAGAGGAACTGGCATGGTGGCTTCAACACATGGAAGCATGGAACGGCAAGGCAATCTTCGGCGCCACTCCGGATCTAGTCATAGAATCCGACGCGAGCAGATTGGGGGGCCCGCTGTGGTCCTACCTCTACAGGTGGAAAATGGTCTTCCGAAGAAAAAGAACTCCACATCAATGGTTTGGAACTCCTGGCTGGGTCATTCGCCCTACGGAGCCTCCTCGGACACACGACCAATTGTTCCATACTCCTACGCATGGACAATGTCTCAGCCGTCCGCTACATCAACCACTTGGGTGGCACGAGGTCCTCAATCCTCACGAACTTGGCGAAAGAATTCTGGCATTTCTGCCTGAGTCGCAGCATATCCGTACAGGCGGAATACCTCCCAGGCCTCTCCAACACCGTAGCGGATTGGCACTCCAGGCATTTACGAGACAACAGTGCATGGCGATTGAATCGCACAGTATTCCAGAAACTCCACCAACTCTGGGGACCGATGCACATCGACCTTTTTGCCTCCCGGCTGAATGCTCAACTCCCCTCATTCTTCAGCTGGAGACCAGACCCAGACGCCACGGCAGTGGATGCCTTCCTACAAAATTGGCCGAACACCAGGCTATACGCTTTCCCCCCTTTCTCACTCATAGCGCGGACTCTCCTACACTTACAGCGCTCCCGAGCATCGTTGGTTTTGATAACACCGTTCTGGACGGCACAGCCATGGTTCCCTTCCCTCATGGAAATGTCAATCGACCTCCCCAGATTGATTCCAGGGAGCACGGAATTATTATCAGATCCCGATGGGAACTCTCATCCACTTCTGGTGCAAGGTCATCTCAGACTCCTAACATGGCTCCTCTCCGGGGACCCTGGACCATGCCGAATGTTTCACAAACGACTTTGGAATTATTGGCAGGAGCTTGGGCCCCAGGGACAAGACGCTCCTATGCTCATGCCTGGAACACATGGTGTAGTTGGTGCGTGGAACGGCACGTGGATCCCATACGTGCTCCTATAAACCAGGTTTTGGGCTTCCTTACTACCCTTTATGATCAAGGCTTGGCTTATCGCACCATAAATGTGTACAGGTCAGCGATTTCAGCTGGGCACATTGGTTGGGAAGGCTTCCCGGCTGGGAAACACTTATGGATCTGTCGTCTCCTACGGGGCATAAAATTTGCACGTCCGCCACAACCTCGTTACACGGCCCTATGGGATGTGAATATGGTCCTTCGGTTGTTGCAAGATTGGCCCCCAAACTCGAACCTCACACTGAAGCAAGTGTCTGCAAAATTGGCGATGCTCCTATGCTTAATTTCCTGCAAACGGGTATCAGACGTGAGGGCCTTAGATATCGATGCACGATCATTCACACCGGATGGTGTCCTGTTTAATATCACCAGACGTACGAAGTCGAACACCACTTCAGTCTTCTATCCCTCCTTTCCTCACAACGCTAACCTCTGCCCGGTAGCATGCCTGCAGGAATATGAATTACGGACACAGCCATTCCGGAACCCAACAACACATAATTTGTTCTTGGCAGTGAGAAAACCTCATCAACCAGTATCCACGGGAACTCTGACACGTTGGGTGAAATGGATAATGTCAAATGCTAACATCGACACAGCCGTTTACGGAGCACACTCTACTAGAGGCGCTATGGCCTCTAAAGCATTCTCCATTGGATGTAAACTGGAAGACCTCCTCCGCACAGCTGACTGGTCCCGAGAATCGACGTTCAAGGAATACTACTTTAGACCAACAGAACATATCTCGTCTAGGGTCATATCACAGCTTTAAACTAGCCTAATAAGAGCCTCCGTGTCCTTTAATAAAATTACCAGATTTTACTAATTACATGACGTAAAGTCATGATTTTATAAAGGACACGGAGGCGAGTATTAGCCCGCCCACTGAAAGGTAAGCCGTACACGTATTTTTTTTTTTCCCACCCACTTGCTCATAAACAAGTTATAGCATTTTGGATGTTTAGAATCAAGGTTCTAGGGTAAGATTGCGATTTAGACTGATTTATGCTAGAATGTCGCAAGCAATGTTTTCAGATATAAACGTTTGTCTACGGACCGGTACAACATATATGTATGACAACGATATTCGAATACATTTTACCATATATCTCTCTGTCTCCTACAGCTTAACCCTGTGATGACATAACCGGGATCGTCCAATATCTCAACATTATTTGGAACATTCGCCGGAACCCCTAAGAAAGATTATCCAAGTTTGAGAAAATGTTTTTCCCTTGTTGATGTGTTCAGCTTCGGCGTCAGCCAGAAAGAGGAAGTAGTTTACCTCACATGAAGGGATATAGTACAAGGACTGATCCTATTGGTTAATGGATATGGAATGTTATATGGTTAACCCTTAAGGGTATTTGTTTTTTCTTTTTGTTATTGCTATATTAAAAAATATCAATATCCTTTCTTTGCTGCTGAGGAATAAAGAAAGAGATAAAGCCTAATACTCGCCTCCGTGTCCTTTATAAAATCATGACTTTACGTCATGTAATTAGTAAAATCTGGTAATTCCTATGCATATTTAGACAAATGTTTTTTTCTTTCACTCCAATGGTCATTAGGCCACATGAAGGCAAACCTCTTAGGTGGGTCCTACACTAACAATATTGATTGGCTTAGCTGACCGCTCTAGTCAATCAGCTGTGCCACTGCTCGGTAGAACTCCGTCCTTCCTGTAACTCAGATTCAGAAGCTAAATGATATCTGTGGGACCTGGAGATCGGCTCAGGGGCAACCTTTGGGGTTAGACCGTTCTAAAATGGTGAGAGTGGGGTCCTCCTGGCACCATAACAACTTAATTTAGATTAAGTTTATATGGTGACCGGAGTTTTCCTTTAACTTGAACGACAAAGACTTACATTTGTCATATCAGGGTTTTATGGATACAAGTGATAATTCTATGTTTGTGAAATATCAAGCAGAAGTTGTATATAATAATATAAAATAACTTAATTTAAAGGACCACTAAAGTCACCCAGACTATCCTTATAAAGTGGTCTGAGTGCACTGGTTCTATCATTTTGTCCCTGCAATGTAAAAGATAGAAATTGTTTTTTAGAAACTGTAATGTTTTAAATCCTACAGTCTTGAAATAACAATTGTCATTTTTGGGATTATAGGTTCCATTTAAAATAGTAAATATTAATACAAGAGATCAGCTTTTTAAGCAAGAGTACACTTGACCATATTAATGTCGATATTTGGTTCATGTTTTGACTGATGCTCTTTA